CTCTCCCGCCCACTGCCCAGCAGCAGCCTGCCATGAGCAACCACCTGATCTCTCCGGTGAGTCACCGGCTCCAGCCTCCTGCTTCCAGATGGGTTGGGGGGGGACCCCGCTGCCCTGCCACCTGCACGTGTCTGAGCTTGGCGCTGGCTAACGACGCCTCTGCCCTGGGCTCGGCGGAGCGGCCCACGGCTTTGCCTGCTAAAGGGATTTAGGTGCCCAAATCCCATTGACATTCAGGTGGTCGGGCCTCCAAAGCCCCTGGGCTCCTCTGGAGGGAGGTGAGCCATGCATCCTGGTTATCGGGGCAGGGCTGCAGTGCCCCCTGGGGCCAGCGAGGGGTCACTGCAGTGTGCTGCCCAGCTCCAGGGCCCGCTGGGGAGCGTGCTGTCAGTGGCCGGGAGCGTTCGCCCCAGCGGTTCCAGCTGCCTGTGGGTGTAGGGCTCTGCCCCGCATGGAGCGGCGCCCCCAGGCCTCGCAGGGTTGCTCTGCCACCGTGACTTTCCCGTTGGCCGTGCCGAGGCCTGGTCCCGCCTGCAGACGTCACCCGAGGAGGGTAAGTGGAGCTCGTGTCCTGAGCTGTGTCTGCCACGTGCGGTCAGAGCCCTCGATGCTCCGTGCCCAGGAGAGCCAGAGCCAAGGCAGGGGGGAGAGTCAGGCCATCGAGTCAGTGCTGGGAGCTGGGGTTGGAGCCGGGCGCTCCTGGCTCTCAGCAGTGGGCTCCGACATGGCTCTCGGGAAGCGCTGCACGTGACCCCCCGCAATCCGGAGCCCTTCCCCTGCCATGGGGGGAGCTGGGAGTCCCCGGGGGAAATTTTCCCTTCTCCTTAGCGTGAGCGCTTCCTTCCCTGGGAGCCCCGGACAGCCCTGCTCTGCTGGCCCCTCCTGAGACCAGGCCATGAGACTGGCAGGGTTAGGCAGCTCGGCGGTGGGGCCGGGGAGCCCGGCAGCTGTTGCTTGTCCTCCGGCCAGGCTGCTTGTGCTGACACCTGAGCTGGGAGTCCCCGGGGGAAATTTTCCCTTCTCCTTAGCGTGAGCGCTTCCTTCCCTGGGAGCCCCGGACAGCCCTGCTCTGCTGGCCCCTCCTGAGACCAGGCCATGAGACTGGCAGGGTTAGGCAGCTCGGCGGTGGGGCCGGGGAGCCCGGCAGCTGTTGCTTGTCCTCCGGCCAGGCTGCTTGTGCTGACACCTCTTAGCTCTTCTGTGCAAATCTCCCGGGCCTTGAAACAGCAAAGGCCGTGCCGTGCCCAGCCTGCCCACGCGGCCGCCTGCCTC